ATTAGTCTGAAAAGTGAAAATCTAATACTGAGGAACATACATGAATAAACCTAAATGGTTTGTACAGGGCTCGGTATTGACCAATGCGGCACTTGGGGAACATTGTGAGTGATTGAAAGGAGGTGGCCTTCTAGAAACAGATTTGCATCACTTGTACCAGGAATGTAGGAAAAATCTCACAAAAAATTGGTAACTGCACTAAGAATCTGGGGCTCCCGCCACCAAAACATTCAGTAAAAGAAGGCCAAGAGACATGGAGGAGATGGGAGGTTACCTCTGTCGCCACCTTCATGGGAGGGACAACAACCTGCCAGTCGCCGTTCTTTGTCGCCGGGCGCAGCGGCCCACACTGGAGAAGGGCACCGCCGTCGGGGGTTGGGTCAAGTGGGCCGCCCCACACTGGAGAAGGGCACCGCCCTGGGGCTGGGGGTTGGGCTGGCCATGACCCCTAGCACACAGCTGCTAGGGTTTCTGAGCACTGAAACACATGAACACACACGGAGAGAGGAGGAGGCGCAGGGGGGCAGCGACGGCCGGACACCGCCGGGGCCAGGCCATGAGGGGAAAGGAGGAGGAGGAGGGCGCCCGCAGCCGCCACGCCCGCCTGTGCTAGCCGTCGTTGGCCTGTCCGTGTCGGGATGGAGAGGGAGAGGGAGAGACCGATGGGAAGAGGGAGAGGAGGCCAGTGGGGTGCAGGTCGCGGCCGTGCGCCGCGCCCCTGCCAGCCTGCTGGCCTGGAGGAGGTCGCTTCGCCCGCCTGGGGCGCCGTCGCCTTGGCCGTCGCCGTGTCGGGAGAGATCGAGAGAGGATGGGGAGAGGTGCGTGTTTTTTTTTCGGAGCAGAAGCTGTGTCTATTATTGGTTTCGCTGGATTCGGAGCGAAGCCGGAGGAGGCAACAAGAGATGGTGGAGAAGCTGGTTAAGCGCACGAGAAGCGAGGAGAAGCCGCTATCGTGAAAAGCTGGTCCATGCAATCCGGTCCGTAGAATCAAAGATCGGACGGACGAAAAAATTAGGAGCGACGTGGACACGCTGGCGTCGCGAGCTGGCCACAACGAATCATATCTTTTAATTTCCTATTTTAGATGTGTAAGTGCATGACCAGTGATTACCAAATTACCCGGGGCACAGGGGCAGCCTTCTGCAGATGCTTAATGAATGCAATTCTTGTTTTTTAAGAAGTCAAACAGTTTGAATTTTGATCAAAATTATATAAAAAATACTAATATTCATGATACAAAATTAGTATCATTAGATTAGTCATATAATATATTTTCATAATAAGTTTATTTAGAGACATAAATATTAATTCTATTTGATATAAACTTGGTCAAATTTAGGCTAGCTTGACCGGCACGGATCCTATAATTGCATGTTTTTATGGACCAGAGATAGAGAGGAAAGAAAGGCAAGTTGCAGCAGATGTTGCAAGGGGTCGTTTCAGGGTCCTCGGCCTCGTTAGGGTCCTTGTCCTCATCGGGTCCTCATCCTCATCCTTGAACCTTCCTCCACAGTTTGCCGAGAATTAGATATGACAAGTTTTGGTCGCCAGCTAAACAGGCCCTTAGCCTTACCCCCACGGGCCCGTGCGTGCTTAACCTCCACTCCCACGCGCCAGCAGCAGAGAGGAGAGGAAGGTTCTAGGAGGCACTGGTGAGTGTCAGCAGAGGCAGAGAACGAACGGTGGCAGGTTAATGGGCAGGACGAAATCAACGGCTAGAAGTTAGTGGTGACGTGGCAATAATAAGGTATAATGGTATATTAGAGAATCATAACTGAGTTGACTGTTGACCTCACCTCAAACACCACCTATGCCATCAAAGATTACTGATCATCACTGACACTTGCTCATAGATTTTAAAACATGTAACCCTGTAACAGCAGTTGAACCAATATCCACAAGTGTATACCCAAAATAGTGTTTGATTAAAAACAAGTGCTAAATTTCGCTTGCCACCTTCATAAGTTACTCAACTCCATAGGGCACCATCCAACTAGACAAATTAAACATAGAGTACATCACAGTAAAAAGCTACGCGAGCACAAGTACAAAAATATTGACAGCCACAATATGAAATTCAGATTCTGGTATACGAAAACAAGGATTATTATGGTAGATTGAACTATCGGAGTTCTGACTCCATATGCAGCACAAGCTAGCAGTTGTATAGTTTAGTTGTTGAGTTCAGTTGTATCGTTGCGACCCTGATTGAAGGCTTCAAACTGACTTTTCCAGGTAGCCGCCTTCCCAAAAATGCTCTCACTGCATAGATAACCAAAACTTTGAAGTGAGCTTCATTGAAAAATATAATGAAAGTATTATCCTCCCTAATGAAGACCACACAAATCATACCACATATATCTAGCAATATAATTATTGTCATCAGTAGTATGCATCATAAGTGCAATTAACTAATCAAGACTTTCATTTTGGCAAGGTTCTTAACTCCATATCAGACTAGAGATTATGATAAAGTGGTTTTTGAGTCTATATTAATCCTTATAATAAAAACAACATGCTTCAACTAAACAAGAATTTGTGCAAACTTCAATTTTGTATTTTACTGGACACTTACTGTACAAAATTTTACTGGACATTTATCGTACAAAATGTACCGTACAAAATTTTACAAAAAAATATCATCTTCAGGTGATGAACTGATGACTGAACTCTAGTCAACAAATAAAATAAAATAAAAAATATTTCAACCAACCATTGAACAGACCTACCACTAAATCCAACTAGAATTGTATTTGCATTTTTTTTACGTTTTCTCTTGCGATTCCACAACATAGCGAAACCACAACTAAAAAGAGCTCCGATAGAATGGTAATGTTCAGGAAAGTAGATTATTGAATACATCAAACCTGAATTCGGAATTTTACTATACTTATAAAAGTTCAATTAGTTGCACTAATGTACCAAGAAACCTAAAATTGCACAGGTCAAACAAGATTATAAAAATAGGCTTTTTAACCCCAAGAAAGTTAGGGAAATTAAAAAGTTAACATACTAAACTCCACACAATGTTCATTTTCTAGTTCTCAGACAACATTTCAACTACATGTTCATTTTCAAGTTCTCAGACAACATTTCAACTACATGTTGGTCCCCACAATGTGCCCAAACATTTATGCAATACTGATTCCTACTCCCTCCATTCAAAATATAAGATGTTTTGGCTTTTTCAAATGCATTGCTTTTATTATGTATCTAGAAATAGTGTATATCTAAATACATAGCAAAAACTATGTATCTAGAAAAGCCAAAGCGTCTTATACTTTGGAATGGAGGGATCAACAATTTTTTTTACCAGTGTATTTGAAGGTATACCAGATTGTAAGAAGGTAATAGTGACAATATATATCAACATTCTAATTTAATTTCGGAATGGTGATGCATCGCAATAGAACAAATTATTTGCCAGTTACAAACACAAAGTAAAATTGACAAAATTCAGTCTAATTCATTCTTGACATCTTTGTCTTCAACTCCTAAAACTAATCCAATCATTCAGGCAAACATAATATAAGTGTTAACTTTCAAAAGGTGACAAAATACAAGAAAACTGAGTCAGCTTGGCAAGGCAATCTCATATTCAAACAAAAAAATGAAGATGATGGGAAGGACTCATCATTTTTTTAATGATCGTTAACCAATTGTCTAGGCAACAGCTAGGACAAACAAATTCAACCAAATTTAGAATATAATTATATTAAACACATGCGCTCATGTCCGACTTCACCAGCAAGCTTCTATAATTATATTAAACACATGTGCTTGTGTCCGACTTCACCAGCAAGCTTCTATAATCTACTGCAGTAGAAATTGTTCCTTAGATAAGAAGGACATAAACATGCAAGTACAGGTTTCTAGAGTTTGTTTGCTGAGTTGTTGGCCAATCTAAAAGAAATTTAGAAACAAAATATATGGGCCAAATGTTATTCCTACAATGATGATCGCTTATTACAAAGCTAACTAGATGATTATTAATAACATTTTTGCAAAATGAGACAGAAGATGCATTTTGCATTTTCCACAACTAATTTGCAAAACAGGTGTAAGAGGTTCATCAATCAATAAGTGTGCAGTGTGGGATAGAGAGGTGAAATCAAAGAAAAAAAAATGAAGTGTTAGCATTACTCTGTCACCTATCCCAATCCATATTCCACTCCCCTATTACTTAATCCAAACATACTGTAAGAGACAGGATCCCATATATAAGACTAACGAAGGCTTTGTTCAGCTATTGTTGTAGTATAAGTAATAAGGTCTACCATGTGAAGCAGAACATGATTTGCAGTATGTAATGCAATCATAAAATTAAGTTCGCACATCTTTTAATAGTACTAAGAGCTTATGCATGTATATTGAATTTACTGTTTCCTTTCATCATGACAATGCTAAACAGAAAACAGAGAAACACAGGAATTTCATGTTATGAGCAGACCAGAGAAACAAAAACACTTTAGTGGCTAGGCAAGATGTGAGATTTCATTCAAGTTTGTAATAAATTCTATCGATTTGGATAACAAACACTCCAATCCAGACAGGCCACAAAAGACTTATTATTATTCATTAGTACTTTTAGTACTTAAAGTATGGATGATCATACTTAGTTTCATTACATCTAGAAACATTAGAACTAGAAAGGTTGATAAACAATTTACCAACCAGGGCAAGGTGCACAAGACCAATTACTTCTCTCTATTAAATAGGAAAGAAGAACAAAATAACTATTTTATACGTGTAACCAGTGATCACCAAATTACCTGACAGCAGCCTTCCGAAGATGCTTGGTGAACTCATAAGGAAAGAAAGGCAAATTGCTGAAGATGTTGCCAGGGGCCATTTCAGTGTCCCCATCCTCATCAGAAGGGGTGGTTTTGAAATCCTTATACCATAAAACCTTGCTGCTATCTATGTTAAGAGCAACCACCCATGCCTTTGCACTAGAAACTATGTGACTCTCCTTCAATACAAAATATATGATGTTGGGATCATCCATGCTCACCAGAGGGAATTATTGTGATATCTGTCACCCACCACATATTATTGTAGCCATGGTGCAGCGTCGAGATGGTGATTGTGAAACTGGAACCAGGATCACTCTCGCCAGATAGCATGCCATCGCTCCGGGCAATATTGACAAACTTCAATGTTTCATTCTTGGTAACGCACACAGTCCGGGACAACTGCGGCCATCCTCTGCTGAATGGGTCAGGATATCCAACAGGAATGTGATCCACTGGCAAGGAGACGTACTGGAGGTCAGGGCTAGGGTGATTAACGTCACAGAAAATGACACCCCTTGAGTAATCAACCCAACACAGGTAACTGCCGTAAGGGATAACCATGCTAGCTTCCCACCAGCAAAGTAAGTCACCAAACTTAGCCTTACCCCCACAGGCCCTTACGTGCTTAACCTCCCACTCGCCAGCACCTGCAGCAATTCTTTCCCTGCTCGAGCAGAGCCTCAAGAGCTGTGCTTCCAGAGGTGCATCCACGTCTTCAAGCCTGGCCATATCGAGATGGAGCTCCGCCACCACGAAAACTTGTTGTTAGTGTTTCGATTAAACACCAACTAGTAAATTTATATTTGTTGTGCGTTAGGCTCGGATGGTGTGTTAAAGGACACAAGGTTTATACTGGTTCGGACAGAATGTTCCTACGTCCAGTCTGTTGCTGCTCGTGTTATTAGCACTGAAAAAAGGTTCGTAGTAGGGGTATAAACGGTCGAGAGAGGGACAGGTCCTAAGTCTCTGATGGAAGGGTCAAAAGGATGCCAAGAGCCCGGTTGCTGCTTGACTGTGTGTTGTGTGATGTGTTGTGTATGAAATCGATCTGTCCCCTTAGTGGGGTGTCCTGACCTCCTTTTATAGACCAAGAGGGAGCAGGGATTACAGATAGGAGGAAGAGGAAAAAACCAAAGGTAGAGACCGTCCTTCGAAGGCGCCGAGCCTTCCTTTTCCCTTGAGCCTGCCCTGCTGATATGGCAAACCATGCCAGGGATAGCACGTTCGCTGATCCTGACATGGCCGTGTTCTGGCTTCGCTTCAGCAAGTGGTTACGTCCCATCCCACTCTGACGGATGGTGCGGCGTGCCGGGGTGCCGAGCCGTGATCCTACGGAGAGCAGGCGGGGAAGGGACTATACGTCAGTAACTATAGATGATGCGAGTTCTCTCTTACATTGTAGTGGTTGTCGTATGCTTATGTCAGGATCCGTGTTCGAGGGCTGATGGCAGCGCCCACAACACTGTAAGACAAAAGTCGGCGCCCACAACACTGTTCGGGTTCTTCCATGCCTAGAAGGTCTTAAAGCGCCCATTCCGTCGTATCTTGACGGTACTTTCCTACAGGCGTGCAGGGCATGGTCCTCGGTACTGCGGTTGACTCGAATGTCTGGTCTTACCCTGTGCCCGTCATTATGAAGGAGCAGGGTGCAGTCGTCGGGCGAGGTGGAGCCAGCCCTCAGTCACCGGGCGAGGCGGAGCCAGCCCTCAGGGGTTGGGCGAGGCGGAGCCAGCCCTTAATCATCGGGAGAGGCGGAGCCAGCCCTCCGATGTCGGGCGAGGCGGTGCCAGCCCTCAGTTGTCGGGTGAGGCGGAGCCAGCCCTCAGTCGTCGGGCGATGCGGAGTCTGCCCTCAGACGTTGGGTGAGGCGGAGTCTACCCTCAGGCGTCGGGCGAGGCGGAGTCTGCCCCCAAATGTCGGGTGAGGCTGAGTCTGCCCCTAGGCGTCGGGCGAGGCGGAGTCCACCCGTTGGGGGTCGGGCGAGGCGGAGTCCAGCCCTCGGGGGTCAGGCGAGGCGCGGCCAACCTCCGGTCGTATGGACAAGAAGCGCAGTTGTGTTCTTGTCTGCTTGAGAGCATCAACGTTTGATGGTTATTAGCTCCACCTCATTGGGTACCCCAGTATTAGGTCCCGACAGTAGCCCCCGAGCCTTCGGGTGATTCGGATAGAATCGCTCGGGGGTGATTTGACATGCCAGAGGGTGCGCGCGAGCGCACCCGACGGGTGTAGCCCCGGGTGATTCGGATAGAATCGCCCTGGGGGTTTTCGATTCGCCAGAGGGTGCGCGCGAGCGCACCCATCGGGTGTAGCCCCCGAGCCCCTGGGTGATTAGGATAGAATCGTCGGAGGGGTTTTCGATTCGCCAGAAGGTGCGCGCGAGTGCACCCGTTGGGTGTAGCCCCCGAGCCCCCAGGTGATTCGGATAGAATCACCCGGGGGGTATTTCAGACCTTTCGTGGGTATGGCTGTGAGATTTGGTATTTTGAGAACTGGATAGTTTTAAAGGGAACCCTGGTATCCTGTTTGCGGGGATTCTTCCAGGGTTAGCCCGGTTGAGACTCAATCGCGGATCGAGACTCCCTTGAGGTTTGTGTGCCTGAGTTCTGTCCGCTTGCGGGCCCATCCCTCGTTGGGACAGCCGTCGAAACTATTGGGCTAGCCGTCGAACTCCTGGGCCCGGGCGGGCCGGTGAAATGGTTCTTGACCCGTATCCCCTCTGCGGGAAAAGAGTCCTAGTCTGTCCGGGAAAGCAAAACGTCCGGTGCGACTCTGGTGGGAAAGGAAAGAGATTGCAGGCGCATATCCCACAACGTGACGTGGTGGTGTATCGTGGCAGGCATGGAGATCTAGGAGGCCAGTTGCCCTTCTTGCATCCGCCGCCCCTATAAAACCAAGGGGTTCACCCCCAGGGTTCCATCCTTTGCCTTCTCGCCTTTGCATCTACAACTTCCACCGCCAATCGCCTGAGCCTCCCACACCCGCATTGCAGCCGCCATCAAGCTCGCATCCACCCCCCTCCTAATCGTCCAATGGAGCCGTGGTGCAGATCCAATATCACCCTTCAGCGCCTGGAGGGCCTCGTTCGCCATGGCCTCCTTTGCCCGTGGACCGCCGCCGAGAAGTGGCAGCTGCCTGGTAATGAAGATGCGTCATCGCCGCCCGAAGGTTATGTTGTGTCCTTTGCTCGCTTTCATGAGCGGGGATTCGCCACCTCCGCCCACAAGTTCCTTCGGGGGCTGCTGGATTACTACAAGGTGGAGTTGCAGCACCTTACTCCCAATGGGGTCTAGCACATTGTGGCGTTCGTCGCCTTGTGTGAGGGGTTCTTGGGGATTAGTCCCCACTTCGACCTATGGTGGTATCTCTTTGTCGTCAACCTTTTGAAGAAGCGGGTCGAGAAGCAAGAGCTTAGCGTGCTGGTGGGATGTGCCGGCATTCATCTCCACAACAACCGGGTGAACGAATACCCGTCGATGCATCTATCGACCTCCAACAAGGGATGGCATTCGCATTGGTTTTACGTCAAGGACGATGTTGCCACCCCCTTGCCAACGGTCTCCGGGCGCATCATCGAAGAGGTCCCGAAGTTGTGGAAGTGGGGTGTCCCGGACAAAGCCAAGAAGAAGATCAAGGACCATCTCGCCGCCCTCCAAATTCTGAAGGAGAGGGGCGTGAAGGGATCGGGGATCATCGGCGCCTACCATACGCGGAGGGTGACGCCGCTGATAAGCCGCGTGCTTCCCCTGTACCTGATGGTGCCCGGAGCATCGCTCGAAGGGACGACGCTTGTCGACGAAGCGCTCCCCCCTCCGAAGTGGCGCAACGCATCAAGGAGGCGATGGAGCCTTCGAACGAAAACGCCGGCGTTGTCCTTGATTTCATGTATCCGGTGCCAGGGCATCCCCCAATGCGGCCGGAATCGGGGTTCATCGACTTCGTAAGTTCTCTTTCCCCGTGCCTCCTTTTTACTTGAATTCCCGACCCCTTGATGCTGACCTCGGGATAGCAGGACCAGCCGAAGAGACTCGTCTTCGCGGATAGCTCGGCTTCGCTGCCGAAGGACCCGCTCATGGCGGTAGCGAATCGCACCATGGCCGAGTGGGATAGGAAGACAAAGGAGTTCAAGAGAAAGAAGATGCTACAGAAGCAGCAAGCACGGGAGCGAGGAGAGGAGACAGATAGTGATGACGATGACGAGGAGTATGATGAGGTAGTTGCTGACATTGAGTGGGGCGACCTGGGAGGCGAGGACGCGCTGATAGGTGCCCACTTGTCAATGCAGGGACCCTTCATGTTCCATGCCGGGGTAGATGCGGCCATGAGGCCGGAGGAGGCAGGCTAGACCGTTGGCCCGTCCTCAGGACCGGTGGGAGTGGACGGATCTGCTGCCGCACCTAGGGTGCCGGTGGAGGGGGCGGTTCCACTACCGCGCCCCACGAGCTGATAGGGGTGGGTGGATCTACCGCCGTGCCCAAGGTGTTGACAGAGAGGGGTAGCTCCGCCGCCATGCCCTCGGAGGTAAGGGAGATGAGCCCCTCTGCCCGGGAGTAGGGGCAGGCTCAAAATTGTCCCGCCCAGACGAATTGAAGCAGGAATCTAGGGGTTCATCCCCAAAACGTCCCTACCGCCCAACATCGCTAGCTTAAGTCACGGATTCCTCTGTTTTTTTTTGTTTTTCAATGTGACCTGACTGGTCGACGAGCCTTTTAACTCTTGCAGAGTCTTGAGACGGGGCCGTTCTTTAGCGCTGGAGCCCAAGAAGAACGTTCCTCTTCAGGCAGGATGGGCGCCGTCACCCGATGTTGCTCCTATTTTAGGCAGGAGCGGTGCCGATGTTGTGGCCTCGTCGACCAGTCAGGCACCGCCTGCGGTGGCGCCCGTGCCCTCGGCGGGTCAAGCAGACGCCGGGGCTGGTGGAGCACCCTCGGGGGTCGTCGAGCAAACGACGGCGGAGGTGACTCCGCTGCCTACATCGGAGCAGATGGAGCTGCCGCTCGTGCTTGTGGCACCCTTTGTGGTGGGCGCGGTGCAGCAAGTCGAGGCCCCGGTGTCACAAGCGGAGGTGGCCACGACTGTGACAAGCCAGGCACAGTCGGACGCCTGAGGTGGGCCGGACGGAGGGGGACATGGCCAGAGAGTCCCTAGGCATCGTGGCAGTGGTGGAGAGGACCATCGGGGGGTCGCCCTTGGCCCTGATGTCCGTGGGTAGCCGCTCGCCCGTGCGGGGTGAGTCGCTGCTCCAGTGGATGGATCCTCAAGACCCAACGTCGATTCTCTTCTCGCTCGATGATGCTACCGAGAGCATAGAGCGGGAGAGTCTCGATGAAGGGATCTTGGCTATGATGGATGTCCTAAGCCAAGCTAGGGGTGTCCTGCATGATGCCATCATTCCCACTGGCCGGGTATCCGCTTGATCTTCCCTCTCGCTTTCTTCTTTCTTCATGTATTTTTGTGTTTTTGACACTGGTCTTCTTTTCAGTCCCTCATTGCTCGTAGCCGGGAGAAATCTTGGTTCCTCCACAAGCAGAAGGTGGAATGGGACCACCTCATCGAGGAGGCCTGGCTGCGTAGAGACGTGAGCGCCCAGCTTGCTGCCACCCAATAGCAGGAAGCCGAGGCATGTCGGGATGCAGAGGAGATTCATGGGATGTTCCAGGATCTATCGGCGAGGGTGCGGCAGGATGAGGAGGCGGCCGCTAGGGTCCAAAAGGAGTGGGACAAGCTGCTCT